TCCCTGTTTGCTGTTCAAGGGTGGGAGTGTTGCCAGTCCCCAGCCTCCAGCTAGCACTCTGAGGCAAAGGGTGTGTGTGCAGTGCATGCATCTGTTGATGATACTGAGCTTTTCAATCTCCCTCTCCCTGCTTCTTCTTACTGTCTGCAAACCTGACAGGACTGCAAACCAGCAAGGGGCTGATAAAACTAGTAGGGGCCTGATAACACAGTGTTTATCAGCCCATCAGTAAAACAAAAGCTTCTCTCATTAGTTCAAGCTCTTCTTAAACAGCTTTTTCCAAGGAAGGAATGGAAGGACATTACCAGCTGACTTGTTGATTAGCTTCAAAAAGCCCTAAGTGGACATTGTTCTGTCTGCCTGTCCCAGTGAAACTGGAGACACAAACACCTCTCAGAATTAGCTAGCATGCCTAGGGTTCTTGGGGCTGGGGTCCGTGCTGTGAGAGATGGGAGTGAGAGAGGGAGGGTGGATCTCTGCTTGAGCAGTGAGCAGCAAGGGAAGCTAGGCAGATGCTGCATGCTTCCAGTCTCCAACAGAGCTCTGGTTAGGGAGGAGAGGGACAGGGTCAGCCTGTTCTCTGCAGTACAGAGCCCAGCGCAGGGCTGCAAAGCATCAGGGATGTTGGGGGACTCTGGTTTAACTTAAACCAGGAAGGGGTCTGGGACAGACACTGCATAAACCAGTCTGACCCAAATCAGTTAAGTCTGATCCTACATTCAACCAGGTATATCTCAAACCAGTTTCAGCCATTTTGAAACTGGTTTTATGTTCACTGAACTTATGTTCTGTTATAGGTTTAAACCAGTTTCTGATCACTTAAACCAGCTTATGTGTAATGTCTGTCCCTACCCTAAGGGATTTGATTCCCTCTATCATCCCACAGAAAGAGACTCAACAGAATTTGGAACTATTTATTTAAGAGAACAAAATGAAGACTGCATCAAAACGCAAGTTAGATAATGTTATTGTTCCCTGCATGAGTTATATCAAATAAATATTCTTGGGGAATGCTGTATTCTTAACTGGAACTGTTTATTCATGAAAATGCTACTGGATTTCCCACAGGTGTTTAGGGGAGAAAGTTTTTGTATTTGGTTTTTAAATATTTTAGTAACCCTGGCATTACCTCTTTAAGGAAGTGATTCTGTAAGTAAATTTAGTGCTACTTATGAAATAGTTTTGGCTCAGCAATTTAAAGACCATATTGTCTTTCTTATCTTAATAAGAAAGATGGTTGTGTGTGATTTTTTAAAACATCTTCCAAAGAAACCTCCCAGCCATAAGCAAAATAAAAAATTTGTCTCACGGTAATTTGTCTCTCTCTGTAGATGGAAAATTTGAAAAACCGAGAGTAAAAAGGAAAGAAAATTAGAGCATGCTGAAAGCAGCCTTTAAAATTACAGAGATTATTTGTATAATCCTGGAAAAGTTACATTTCTGCAGCTCGGTAATGGAGGTTGGGGAAGTAGAGGTAGGAGTCTGCTGGAGTCAAGAGAACTTTACCTTGTTTCCTTATGTCCTGGCTAGCTAAAATTTAACAAATCTTTACAAAGTAGTTAGAAACATCAACAGCCTGTTTAGTCAATATTTCTGGCTAATTCTGATGATGGTCTAGGGCTAGTGGGGAAGAGATACAGCTCTCTGAGATGCTGCAGTAGTTAAGGGCCTTTGCTATTAATCCCCCCAACCGTCAGACAGCACTCCTCCATAAAATTGGACTCTTTATCTCCTATGCACAAGGCTAGACATATTACTGTAATCCAAACAGTACCTAGAATGGCTGCTGCTAACACCTGCAGAGCAACTGTAAGGGGAGGAGATATGAAATAGATGCTCAACTCCACCTGTGATTGCAGCTTTCCTGCTAAAATGTGTCAGTGTTGCAAGACAGTCACCACGCTCCCCTTATTGTCTGCTTCATCCATGCATTGGGTCCCTTGTCTGAGGTAGATGGAAAGATCTATGGGCTAAGGACTTTCTTCTTTATTACTTGGTACCATCGTACAACTGAAAACTGGTCAGGGAACTGACATGCTACTGTAACAAAATAAGTTAACTAGCAGTATAAATATGAAAGTATTCCTGGCTGACAGGAAGTCATTCATGGTGGGTGAGGGAAGAGGAAAGAGTTATGTGCTTTGTGCTAGGTGGGAAGTGCATGGTTGGATGAATAGTCAGATCCCCTCTCTAGCTTCAAGGTTTACCATTGCTCAAAGAACTGTGCTAGGAATTTCCCTCCATCTATAGTTTATTTAATCAAAAACAATGTAAAAATATAAGGCTGTACAGTCAAGAAATGCCAGTGCTAAGGTTATTTATAAATCCTCTCTGCGTGTCCGTGATCAAGTACCCTTTTTCTGCACCAGGATCCCTGCCTCATTCAGTGAATAGAATGGATGGGTGCTGCTTGTAGGCCTTGCTGGGGTATTGATTTAATACAAACATTGATCAATGCATTTACAACTCATATAAAATCTTTGCTAGATCCTTGACCAAAGCAGGCCTCACTGAAGGCTGACCTCTCACTCTCCCAAGGCTTAGCCTGGAATGTGCCTATAAGACCCCTGGTAAATTTGATGGTTAAGGATACTGCCAGAGAGTCTAGAAAACATATGATAATGACAAGAGGCATGAGGATAATGGTAATTAAAGATGTTTGTTTGCTATGTAAAGGTATGACATGTTCAAAATGTTGGTCTGTTCACCAGGGCGCCTCTTGGGGTAACAAGGAACAATGGTCACAAACTGACAGAGCAGATTTAAACTAGACATCAGGAAGAACTTCTTCACGGTAAGGGTGGCCAGAATTTGGAATGGGCTTCCAAGGGAGGTGGTGCTCTCCCCTACCTTGGAGGTCTTCAAGAGAAAGTTGGATAGGCATCTGGCTGGGGTCATCTGATCCTAGCACTCTTTCCTGCCCAGGGCAGGGGGTCGGACTCAATGATCTGTTGAGGTCCCCTCCAACCCTAGCAACTATGAATCATCTATGAAAAAAATTGTTTTGATTCTCCATATAAGAGAGAGACTGGAAACTTTTGGAACTTTTGCTTCAGATCTAGGGAATAACAATATGTGAGTTTTGCCTGTGTCTTGCCACCAGATCTGGGGTTAAAAACTTCTGGCTTCTTGGACATGAATGTTAGGGAGTTGGTGTTTTGCAGGTAATAAACCTGTCTGAGTTTTTTTGCCACTGTATGAATCTTTAGTCATTCTTTAGGGTCTGCGAGGAGGGACACAGATGATGCCCTGAAAAAAGCGTTCACTACATTTACTAAGAGAAGGGAAGACAACAGTGCCCATATAATTAGGTGTTCAAACATTTGTTTTCTCCTCATTGTTCAGTGCATGGCCTCAGCCTGTATTCAAGCTATTCAAACCTTGCTCTGAAGATTTAATTATTTATTTTCTAATTAGTTTTTCTATGGTGCTCATTACTTGAATGGTTCACTGATAATCACATTTACTTGCATACCATGCACATGCTCTTTCCCAAAAACTACCCCTCCAAGACTGGGGTCTGTGTTTTAAAGTAGGAAGTGGATTTCTACACTAGAATGGAAGCATGGGGCACTGTTAATGGTTGCAAGGGGATGGCTCTGTGCTGAGCTCTGGTTGCATGCAAGAGGGGCAGAGTGCTGCTCAGCTACTTAACTCTTCTTGCAAACACCACAACTCAGGCTTTAATCCTGTCACTGCTGCCACCAAACTGGGCCACTGCTCAGCCACAAGCTGCTGCCAACTTACCAGCAGTTGTGACAGTGGTAAGGATAAGTTGACATTCAACTTCTAAGGATGTTATGTACATACCAACATACACACCACATTTTCTTGCATATCAACCACATGTGCCTTGCTTTGGAAAGGCAGAATGACAGGAAAAAAAGATTTTTTTCCAGAATCATGGCTGAATTGAATGCTACACAGAGCAGGGACAGAGTCTACTCTTCAGTGTCACTCTGCACTAAACTCGATGCTATATGTTCCAAAGACACTTAATGGATTAGGTCCCTCCAGGAACTTAAATACAGTTTTGGTGACATCCTAGCTGCTGACAAGATTTGTAGCTCCCCACTCTCATGGTGCTTCACAGAAAGTGGCATGATTTAAAGCGACTCCCCCCTGGACCCAACAGATATTCACTATTGGGTTGGGGAAGGTGGGGAATCGAGCTCTACTTTGAATTGATCCAGGAGCTGCCTGCCCATAGCCTCTCTCCCTTAGCCCTGCCTCCCTCCCAGTTCCAGTACTATCTGCAGGAGCAGGCAAGGTAAGGGGGCTCCAATCTACCTGCCCTCATCTCCAACTCAAGCTGGGTAAACCCCAGCCTGCAGCTCCCTCCCCCTCCCTTCTTCCCCTTCCTTCTTGCAGACAGCACTGGGGGTGGGGCTGGGCTGCATCAGCCCAGCCCTGATTGCGCACAGGGACAGACAGAAGTTAATGAAGGTGCTCTGCTTTCGAGCACTTTCATCTGAACTCTCATTACATGACGGTTAATTTGGCACATTTTTAAAGCCCTCTGCAGCCATGCACTTCTGTTCGGGCACGGCTGTAGAGCACTTTCAAGGAATTGATCGTGCGACAAACATCACTTCTCAGCGCCCTACATGTCCATTCTGAACTGGGACAGCTTAGATGGGAGTCAGGAGTCTAAGTGCTCAAACTAGACCACTTCCAACCATGTACAGAAGCCCAAATATTGGAGACTCAGGGACTTAGTCCACAGCCAAAGTGTCCAAAGTGATACTGAATGAATTTGGATGCCTAAGGGTTTTTGCAGGTTCAGGAACAGATCCTGTATGGACCATTTTTCTGAAAACAGATGTCTGTCTTCTGCTTAAATCCCGTCTAAGCACCTACGGGACCAATCTGGATTTTGCCCTTAATCTGTTTAGGCATATTCTAATGGGGCCTGACTAAACTGAGTAACGCTGTTAACAGTCTTTGCTTTGTGTTGTGAAAAATGAGATGGCAATTGTAGACAAGGAAAAAATACTTACAGGAAGTCCTGAAATGTCAGAGTATTTCTTGGCTGGTTTAAAGGAAGGAGGAGCATCAATATTAAAATCTAGAGGTACGCCAAAAAGAGAAGGGAAGAAAAGGTTACCTCCTGCATTCTTGCTTGCCAGTGCGATTCCAGTAAGCTAAACTTGTTAAAAACACACTTGAGGAGATAACAGACATAGATTTAAAACACTGACTTTAAATGTGTTAAACTAAAAGTACCAGGACAAAGATGCAATAAGCAGAATTTACCCCTGAAAAGCTTTTAACCTGTTATACTGTGCTAAGGCCCTGATCCCATTCACCTAACCAGCAAGTACAGAACTGGCCCGTAAATAAAGAAAAATGCTAGAAGGCTATTTCTATTACATAGCAAACATGTTACTTATATGCGAGTCTTGACAGCTTTGCTTGAGGTTAAAGATATTTGCAAAAATAGCCATTTGTTATGCCTGCCATAGGTTAAGACCAACAAATGTTGCTCAAGACTGACGCGCTGAAATAGCATAATCCAGAAAAGCAAGTAATCTTTTAAATCAGATAAATCTTTAAGCATGTACCACTTTAAGCCTGGTCAATGACCTAGAAAATTGTCTCAACATTTAGATTTAATTCTGGAAATTGCTATTTTTTGGCTTCCCTTAGACACAAATACTAACTGCTTTTATATGCAAACAGCCTTAATGCATCAGTAGTTAAATTCCCAATTCTATAACGTATTGGGATCTGTAAAATATCTTTCATATAGTAAGTTTCCTCCCCCCCAATGACATGTACGAGATTTCCTCCCTGCAATGAGAATTTATGGCTGAAGCATTCCAATTTAGGAGATCAGATCTTTTAATCATGGTGTGCATTTTAAGACTATAATTCAAAAGGTATTAATGCTTCAGGCAGCTGTTTTTTTAGATATGCAATTACATTTGTTTCTACATTTGCTTTTTTTTTTAATGAAAATTTACTACTGTAAATAGAATGGAGGGGAAATGACACTATACAAGGATTGTCAGTTATAATAGCCAGGAACAGAGTTGTCTACATTTTATTCCAAACAGTCACGTCTAAAATAACTTGTAAAATGACAAGTTATATTTAGATGATGCACGGGGTCTGACGTATACATGTGTGCGCACTCCAGTGTACTTAGTCAGTTCTTACAGACTACTGGAGTAAAAACCAAGGGCCCAATTCTCTGATTCTGGGTTTTGCTTATGCTGAGTAAAGTCACTTACTGAGTAGACTACGGGAATGTCTACATCATGCCAAACAGTGCTAGTGAGCATTAACATGAAAATACACCCACCCTTCCATTTTATATGCCAAGGAAATATTGTATAGGTTTTTTGGTGCCCCACACAGAGGTCATTCTGAGGTTCCAAATACCTGTACTGAACTTCATGCTGCAGCACTTGCACAGCTAGCAAACTTGGGCTAGAAAGTTTAAAGGTAGCTGGCGTATATCTATACAAGCTGAAGTCAGTAAAGTGACAGGTACGTTTATACATACCAGTAGGGGCTATTTGTAAAGTAGGTTGTTACTCAGGTCGAGCAAAAGTGACAACATCTTGACCTGAATAAGCCATTTAGGACTAGGTTTTAATAGCCTTGCATCCTCCTCATGTCTCTCAAACAAACTTTCCAACACTTTTTCAAGTAACTCCATTTGGTGGTGATAGTGGGGCCAGGCTATTCTGAATGAATTGCTGGAATCTGTTCAACTGGGTTCCTGCATGCATAGATGCAACAATTTTACGCTCATTTTAAAGAAAGTTATTTGTGTGGATTTTATTGTTTATAAATACATGCAAAACATCTAAGCAGCTTACAGCTAGGATCATTTAGTTGCCATGGTAATGCCCTTTCAGAAGCAAGAATTTGTTTTAGGTTCTTCCAAGTTCTGTTCTTCTTGCCAGCTGCTGCTCCACCAATGCCAGAGTGCTAGAATTAAAATGTGGTGTTTAGAGAAAAAATACATATTATTTCAAAATATGACATTTTTATTTCAGAAAAATATGAGACATGCTTCATCTTGTCATGAACTATTTGTTCGCCTCACTTAATCAGTAAACTACCACACTGTACACTTTACTCTTGGTTACAGGGAAAATAAAGCTTTTTTTGGACTGTGTCAAAACTACTATGTTTGGGATTAGCTAAAGGAAATGAAAATCTTCTTTTTACTTTGAAATAGAAAAATCAATATGGTTAGCATGAGTCTGAGCTGACCAGATTCAGTACTCATGCACCTTCCATTATATTAAAACTTATTAGTGTGGGGATGTATCCAAAATTGTGATTCACCATCCTTTAGATTGCATGTACAAAATTACAGGTGAAGCTGTGTCTCTTGTAAGTTTAAAGTGATTGTGAAAACAAAATCGACCTTACAAAATGTAATCAATGCTATGAGAAGCTTTCTGGAAATCTTATTTTTCTTTCAAATGGAAAGAGACAGAAGAATAGAAAAAGAGTAATGGAATGTTGTGCTAGCAAGGCTAGTTTGCATTTTGAAAGCTGTACTAAAGAAAGGCTTGCTACACTTATTATAATGGTAATTTCAGTTATCAAATGTGACTGCTATGAAGTAATTTATTTATGTCCATCCAGATGCAGAGGATCCACAACATACTGTAGTATTTCTCATGATCAAAGGACACAGCTTCTCAGTTTCACCTCTGAAAAGAAAATATTTTTACAACTGGAGAGGTGGTGTTATCTTGCTTAATAATTGCTACCTGCCACATCAGCCTTATCAAAATTCTCACAAAGTTCTGCAGATGCATTTTTGCTGTGATTTATGTTATAAATTAGTGTGTAAAGTGTATGAGAACCGAAGGAGGTGGAAATGATAAAGGAATGAGATTTATTATGAAAAAATATTCTGCGGAGTTAACTCTGCACTCTTGGAGGATACTTGTGAGCCAGTGAGATATAGCAACTTTTTTCATAATGAATATCCAATAGGAAAAACACATGGAACATTTTACTATAAAACTAACACCTTTGTAACAGAGATAACATTGTCAGAAAGATACTGTTGATTTATAGGATGGAAATAGATGTGTTATCATGTTTCAGAATCACAGTATGTACTTCCCTCTCCCTGCTGCAAACTTAAGGCATGTATTTTTATGATTGTTGTCACTTAGGACCAATGAGAGGACCTGGATAACTTCACTAGGCTATGAAGCACACCCCAAATTTTGTTGCTACTTTGAATCCTGTTTTCTCTGTCCAACAATTTTTGGAATGGTCAGTTTTAGTAAATTTCATGGCAGACATGCAAGATAAAAAACCCCTAATTATAATGAATACCAGTTTACGCAGTTTTCATTATAACAACATACAGAGCTTCAAAGAAAAACCTTACTCCCACAATCCAAATGTGATTTCCACCCTCCCTGTCCCCTTTCAACCATGTGGTAGGCTGTATCTGATAGATAATTCAGTTGTCTTTTTTCTGCATTGTGGGAGAGGTAGAAATAAAGAATGTATGAAATAAAAACACCAAATTAAATATGGTTTATACCCATTTTCAGAATTTCACAGAGTTCTCTGATCAAATTGTTAATTTGCTTATCTATAGCAAAATTAGAAATGACATATTACTCTGAAGAATTATGGTTTCTAATTAAAAGGAACAACAAAAATATGCTGTACTAGATTTGAATATTTGGCTGTTCAAACAATTTAAAAATATTTGCAAGAAGTACCTAGGGAATGTCATGTAAGAGGCACCATGAATATTTGCTGACAATTCAGCTAAAAACTGCTGCACAAAAAGGGCTTTAAAGTAGTGAACTAAATTAAGGATGTGTGTACATGACACCAGTACAGTGCTCTGGAGACAGGGCCTGAGCTAGCTTGAATACAGGAAGCAAACAGGAAGCAGCATAGCCATAGTAGTAGTAGAGTACTCATTGGCCCTGATAAGAAATGGAGTGTGTTACACAGGCAGGAGCACATATCTCCGTGTGGCACTACATTATGCATTGTAGACATGCCCTAAGATCATAGGCTTGTGTTATCTGTTTAGAGTGCAAAGCTGTATAACTTCACTTTTGGTTTTGGATGTCTACACCTGTATGAGGTCCCTCAAAAGCTGATGAGTTCTCGTGAGCTGCACAACCCAACCCAGGGCCTAAAACACTTGAGTATTTCTTGTAAGGGTGCCACCAAACTATTGGCTTTGGCTGTAGACAGATATAACAATTAAACATTTTTGAAACTTTTCAAAAGGCCAGCATACATATATACAGGTAGGATAAAATGCTCCAAAGAGTGACAATAATGTATCTGAAGGGAGCAGGTACTATTTTGTACCACTTTGTTCCACCTTATACTGGTATGGTAGGTTGGTTTACCTGGAACTCCACAATGCAGCACTCTTATCCCTTCCTCCCCCTAGTCTCCCTGCACCCTGGCCTCTGCTGCTGCCCCTGGAGCTAGAAAGCTCTATACTCCCACTTCCAGAAACATGATTCCTACTCTCTAGCCCCAATCCTCCAGCTGGGGGACAGGAGAGCCTCTGGTCTACCAGTTGCAGCTTGGGGAAAACAGAGGCAGAAGGCACAGGAGAGCAATCACTGATAAGGGAGTTGGAGGGAGCAGTACAGCCACAGCTTCCAGAAGAGGGAAGCTGCAGAGCAACAGCAGTCCTGTAGGGACAGGGGAGCTGTAGCTCACTGCAGCCCCTGTCAAGCACCCTTGCCGAAAAGCACGCTGCTACCCTGGTTTTTTTGAAGCACTCCAACCAAATATGATGGGGGCTGTATGTCTGTCAGCAGTGGAAACATCCCACTTTTTAAATGTTCCAAACCCATTATGCTTTGAAATGTTTCATAAATTACATTTGTCTGCACCCTTTGTTGGCAGGAAAGGCCCTGGCAGTTCATGATTTACTATATTTGTTCATGAACCTGATTGGCAGTGATCTCCTTTAGGTATACAGGACAGTACTTCTCTTTCAGTACTGGACCTCTCTGTTCAGGCTGCCTACAACTGAACTGACACAAGCTTATGTCCGCTAAGAAAGAGACCAGAGTCTCACCTCACATGAAAACAGTAAAATGACAACAACTATCAAGTGTGCATGCACTAAGCTGTGCTGGTACTGGTGACCTGCTGGAGAATGGCCCTCTATCCTACTATTAATTCCTTGAACATTTGGTGACCAGCAGGCTGACGGTGACTTGCAGTATCATGTCTTAAATCCAAGTATTTTGATAACCATGCTTTTAAAAGGGCAATTTCTTTCTTCATTCATTTTCATTGTGAAATCTGCAACCAGAAATTCCATCTGGGAGCTACCAGTTCTTAGCTTCTGGCATAGTTTTAAATTTTTGAATTACTTGATACTATGTTTTGCCCAATGATATTAAATTCAAATGAAAATGTTTTAGGTCATCAGCAGAGTTGTTAATGGCAGGTCCTGGAGATAAGGGTCTAGAACAAAGGTGCTCAGCCCCTGGCTTCTGGTCCAGATTCGGCCCACAGAGCCATGGCATCCAGGTTGCGAGGCTCCACGTGGGTTGGGAAATTTGGTGGTGTGGGAGCAGTGGCAACTGGTACAGCCAGTCCTCTCCCTTTGCCAAATTCCTAAGCGCAGCGTAGCTAGGTTGGGGCTGGGCCATGCCCTCCTCCCCCTTCTTCTGCAGCCTGGTCAGGCCCCATCGTGCCGCCCCATGTGCTGCATCAGGCCTACCAGCTGAATCCACTCTGCGGATGGACTGGGCACTACCCATCTGGCCCACTGGGGAAAAAGGCTGGGCATCACTGATCTAGAATAAACTTCTACAGGTTCCTTCTCAGTTAACGTTTGTGCAGTGACCAAGACAATTCTAGGGCAAATTCAGTGCAGCTTCACTGTATGTCAGAAACAGTATTAATAAGTCGCATATGCACGTCTGATTTATGCAGATATCAGCATTTTCCGAGTCGACGCAGTGACGTTCCCCAGAGACACGGAAGCCAGCAGCGGCATCTGGATCAGTTAATTTCTGCAGACTAGCTATGTGGAAAGGCGCTGGGTATGTGATAGGCTTTGTACATCCCAGAGGCTGCTTGAGAGAGAATTTAAGAAGCAGCAAAGGAAACAGTGGTTTAAACACCCTTCACACTGCAGTAAAAAATGGTCAGAAACAAAGCAACCTGTGACTGAGGGGACAATTTGGTACCCTTTGTTTTATGAACAGAGGCCTCATGGGTCAGGTGTTAGGCAATGGGGTGGCTATATCTTACTCACTGGGAACATCTACACATGCGCTTTACTGCAGAGTTGATCAATTAGCTGCGCAGTAAAGTGTCACTGTCTACATGTGCAACACTATTAGACCAGAATAATTTAACTCCACAGTAGGATAGTACTGCCTGACAAGTACTATCCTATGGCAGAGTTATTTACTCTGCTGTAACCCTTGTAGACAGTGATTGGGGTTAGCTGGCACACAAGGGAATATAGTGTAGGGACTGCATGCTGGCTAGCCCCGCACTGTAGCACTCTCGTGCCCCAGCCAGCCCCTACACAGCACAATGAGCTAGGGTGGAGCAGCTCCAGACTGCCAAGCTGACTACCAGAACCCCCTGCCAGCTAGGGCTGCGCCACCCTGACTCAACATGCTGTGGTCCTGGGTACAAGTGTAAACGCTGTGCCTGGGAGTGATAAACTCCAGCATGAACTGCAATGGAGTTTATTGCGTTGCATTAATAGCATGTGTAGATGTACTGTAACAGGGAACCCTAGCCCTGTTACCAGAAGTCATGTCAGTCCCTTTAAGACAAGAACTTTCTGGGCACAGCATGCTGGTAAGATGGGGGTTAAAAGCTGAGCCTGGCCAGCTAGTCAGGTGACCAGAAGGGGGCAGCCAGGTCTATAAACACTCTGGGCTGGGCGACAGTAGGGGCCAGCAGCCAAAGGGGAAGGAGTGTGTCCCTGAGCTCCATGAAGAGGCTTGGTGAGTGGTCCAGAGGCTGGAGGGGGGAACTATGGAGCACCCCGGAGAAGCGGCAGCAACCCCAGAAGAAGGACTGTAGCTGACAGTGGGGAGCAGAAGCACGAATCCCTGCGTAAATGTAAGCTGGCGTGCTGCCTTCTTTAATCACATTTCTCTTGGTGGCAGTTATTGCCCATGGACAGGACTGTTCATATTTTTTTTGTTATTGAATAACACTGGTGGTTTGGGTGAGGCTATTGGGGAAGGAGGAGGCCTCATTGGAGCTCCACTATAGCGTGGGAACTCGGACACCTGCGTAGGCGCAGTATTCGGGGGCACAGACCTGGCACCAGAGAGTGCAAGCCAAAAAGGCCAGGGTGGCCTGGTGCACCTGGGGTGCGACTGTGTGTTTTTGGGGTTTTTTTGGACTGGGATGGTGGAGGTCTGGGGTCACTGTCCAGCTTCGAACTTGTGATCCCCTACCTGTGGGGCTGGTGGGCGGGCCTCTTGGCCAGGGAGGTTGTGCTTTTATTGGGAGGAAAAAGGAGGACCACGAGCCCCAAGACTAAAGAGCTAGAGCCTTGGAGTCAAACCCTATCTGGTAGGTTTAGACAGGGAGGCCTAGCTAGAAAAAGACTGGGGTCAAGGCCAGTGGTGGCAGAAGACCCCAACATACAAAAACAATAGGCAGTCTCCCACTTACAAAAACATCAGTATAACATTTCCATCAAGACGTATCAGGCGAGTAGAGAGAGGGACACAAGAAGCCTTAAAGAGGACTTCAAGGGCGCCCCACGTAGGGTACGGATAACAGGGAAGATGGCGCTGGGGAAGGCGACCTGTTACATGTACCCACTGTGAATTAAATCTTAGATTTAATTAAAATTAAAAATTAAAATCTCTTTCTAAGCACCAATTTAGCACAGCACTATGAAAAGCCAACTGGTTCAAAGACTGTTTGTATAGTATGCCAAAGGGTTTCTAGCTCTGCCAAAGAGTAAGGTGATAAATTTGTAAAAGAAAGGCAAGAATCAAAAAAGTTGCATCGTTTGCTATCATCCTGCTTTGCCTCCATCTCCAATGTAATTCTGCATTACCAAATTCATGAACTGCTTAAGTTTTGCTTCTCACCTGAAATCTGAAATGCCTTGCCTTGACAGAATACAAAGTATTTGTTTTTAGTCCTAGCAGAAAGAATGGCCCTAAAGTTTTGCTGGTGTTGTAATTGGTGAGATGGTGTAAAAAGACAAACATTAATGATTTAGTTTTAGTTTCATTATTCTGCAATCTGCCTTAGCTAGGAACAAGTGCTCCATATAATTGAAAGGATGTGACTCTTAGATTTACAGCGGTATAAATTGTTCATTTCTAGCCTTGATACCATACCATAAAACTGTTACAGGTGCCTTGATCCAGCAGTGCTATTTTGGCCGTGTTCCAGGACAGCATATAACATGTCCTGCCCTTGGACCAGTATCATTTTCATGCTTTGTAATTTAATGCACACTTTGGGTCATAGTATAGCATGAGTTTTTAAGGAAATAATTGATTTAAAACTGATGATACAAGATACTTCTGACTTTGGCTCCTAAAATTACTTTCAAAATAATAACAATAGCAATGCAGTAATAGTACAGTATATTAGCACTTATTTCATTTTAAGGCTCAAAGCAGGGGTGCTTAACCTCTCTTCTGTGGAACCAAGAAACCGGACCTGCAAGGTTCCATCATGGGTTGAAAAATATGACAGCAGGGTGCAGTGGAATTTCCATGCAGCTGGATCCAGCCTCACCTAGGCCATTGGAGCAAATGAGGACCAGGGCTAGGCCTCACTGCCACACATCCAGACTGGGCTGGGCTGTTACCCCCACCCACGTTGGGACTATGGCTGCTTTGCTTCCCCCATGTATCTAGACTGGGGCCGGCCTGCTCCATCCCCCACCCCTACATGCATCTGGATCAGGGCTGCTCCACCCCTATCCCCTCCATGCATCCGGAATGGGGTTGCTCTGCCACCCGCCCTCTGAATGTCCAGACCAGGACTGGGCTGTTTTTCCTGCGCTCCCTCCTTCATACATCTAGATTAGGGTGCTTCACCTCCCCAGGGTGAAAAGGTTGGGTACCAGTGACTAAACAAATTTCCAGTTGATAAAATCAAATACGTACCATAAAGTTTGGATCCTTGAATGGCAATGGTTTAGCTGCTTCCATTGGCCCTGTACCAGGATCTGTGCTCAGAAATTTATTCTCATTCATGGCCTCTCCACCAATCCTCTGGAGAAGGAACACAGTGATGCGGATTTTAATTTGAATGTTCTAAAATCAAGTAAGTCAGTTTTATTTGTGAACATCAACTTTAAATCTTTTAGTCTCAAAAAATTTCTAATCTTCTTTTGAAACTTTGAAAGTATTATGTGCTATTAGTAGGTCTGATCCACTTGACTGGCAGGCCGGCCCCAGTCTATGAAAGTGGACAATCAAGCAGTTTGGACCAAAATGTAAAATTCTGTATGTAAAAATACATAAATAAATAAATAAAAACCTTGGGGGAAAGGTAGAAAGCGGTGGTCATATCAACCCTACTAAATTGAAATGGCATAGATTCTGCTTTGGTGTCAGTGAAAGCCAACCTGAATAATACGTAAGAGACCATGTAAAAATATAAATGGTTATAAGTAAAATAAATTTCTTTCAAAATGTTCTGTATTAAAACATCAGTATAGGAAATATTTTTTTAAAGATGATAAGACTTATTCCAAAGATTTTTAATCAGTTTACCCTGTAACCTTGACTTCAATAGGAGTCATTGGCCTTGGGCAGATGTTTAGTTTCTCCAGGGAGAGTCCCTTATCTCTCAGGAGAAACCACAAGTGTATTTTTGCCCAGAGTAAAAGTGGCCACTCTGGGGGAAAAAACTAGCTTGGGAAATAAGTGAAGTGGCTCTCTGGAGACAGAAGTTCCATACAGGCATCTGGTGTGCTTTGCCGCTTCTCCCTCTCCCTCCCCTGCGGGGAGGGAAATCATGCATCAGTCCCAGCCAAGCAGGGAGCAAAACACACCCCTGATTTCTTTGGGCTGCTCTTGGCTTGTTTCCTGCGTGAATCACACAGCAGCACTTGGGTGCCAGGAAGCATATGAGCATACTCCCTGCCCCACTGCAGCTGGGCTGGAACACAGCATGAGGGAGGAGAAAGCTAACTATGCACAGCATAGACCCCACTCCAGGGATAGACAATTAATGAGGCTGGAGGGCTGCTTAATGAGTTTTGGTGAGTAGTTCACTTTTTTCCCCCAGTTCCAAGATGGCAACCTCCCTCCTCCCAAAAGGAGTACTTCTGTGACAAGGGGAGGGACTTCAAGTAGCAAAGTTCAGGGGTTAGAGGCAGGACTTATGGTCCCAAGTTGGTGACCAGGGTGCAGGGCACCTGTCCCACCCCTTGACAGGT